GCTGGAGAGACAGTACAGGGTGAGGCACTTGTCTGGCCTGTGGCAAAGAGAGAAAGAAGCTCATCCTAGGGACATTCCCAGGGCATGGACGACCCAAGTCCACACGTAACAAGCTCACTGTCCATGCACTCTGATGGATGGATGACAAACCATGCAGTGAAACATCTTCTGACTCTGCAGAGCAAAATGTGCTTGTGGTAGCAACAGAGCCGGAGCTGCTGGGGGCCACAGAGAGGCCAGGGAAGACACAGCATGCCCAGGGACAGAATGTGCACAGGCTGCATGGACGGGAACCCGCCTCTAAAGCCAGAGAGAGGCCTGCAAAATGCCAGCTCTCATGGTCTTGGGCAGCACCTGCTGAAGCCCATTGGTTCTAGGAGGGGCTCTTAGGCTGTGCCAACAGGGGCGAGAGAGCAGTTGTCCCTCTGTCTAGGGAATGCCTGTGGCCCACAGAACCTGAACCTTGGGCATATGGACTTCTGAAGAGTGGACAGTCAGAGAATGGGCAGGAAGGCACAGACGGGCTCTGACCATTGGGAGCGTTGCTGTTCCTGCCTGCCTTCGCTTCCAAGCCCTCAAAGGAGGATCTTTACAAAGCTGGGTCACTGGGAAGACGCATTTTACCAACGGATTCAGCGCTTCATGCTATTTTTTTGTTTTTGTTTTTTTCTAATGAAGATGGTATTGAGAAGCTGCTGGGTGTCTTGAACTGGCTCCAGAGGCCTGTGTGGCTGCAAACCTGCCAGAGTCCTGGGACTTGGCTCCAAGGACCAGAGAGCAGGTTAGAGGTCCTGGGGTGGCCCAGCATCAACCCAAAAGTAAAAAGAAAAACCTGAAAAAAAAGCCAGGTGCGGGGCTGGAGAAATAGCACAGCGGGTAGGGCTTTTACCTTGCAAGTGGCAATCCAGGTTCGATTCCCAGCATCCCATATAGTCCCTGAGCAACGCCAGGAGTAATTCCTGAGTGCAGAGCCAGGAGTAACCCCTGTGCATAGCCAGGTGTGACCCAAAAAAGAAAAAAAAAGTCAGGCGCAAAGGGAAAAGATGGGCCAGTGGTACTGGGAGGAAACGACAAGCTCTGTGTAACCACACACTGAACTTGTGGGGACAGAGCCCGCCGCCCCGCACGGGAAAGCTGACCCTGGCTGTCCCAGACATAGAGGATGTGATAGGGCAGCGCAGGTCAGGGAAGCGACAACACCTCTGCAAACTGTGGGAAGCAGCAGACAGACGGGACCTTGAAAGGGCATCTGTGGGACAGCAGAGTGCGCATGTGGAGCAGGAGGGCAGGAGGGGACAGGGTCGAGAGGGGACCGGAAGGCTCCGGGGAAGCGACCAGGGGTTCCAGCAGTGAGCCATGCAGGAGAGCCGGGAGTTTCTCAGGCCCTCCTGCGGGAGGACAGAGAGGAGGGTTCCTGTGCAAACAGTCTCTTCAGGGCATCCAAGGGGCTGCGTATTTAGGGTGTCTGGTGCAAGGAAACTTTTGTCCTCTTTGGGGGGTAAGGGATGAGGGTCTGGGCTATACCCAGTAGTGCTCAGGGCTTCCTCCTGTCGGTGCTCAGGGCTTCCTCCTGTCAGTGCTCAGGGCTTATTCTGTCAGTGCTCAGGGATCACTCCTGGCTGTGCTAAGGAATCATTCCTGTCAGTGATCATGGCTTACTCTCTGCTCAGGGATCACTCCTGGTGGTGCTCAGGAGACCATGTGCGGTGCCAGAGATTGAACCTGGGTTGGTTGTATATGGGGCAAGGGCCTGTGCTATCTCTGGCCCCAGGGAGCTCTTTTCTCCTTTTCTTATTTCTATTTTTGGCCTCCAAACAATGCTCAGGGGACCTGAGTGACCACTCCCAGTGACACTTGGCCAACCTGGTCAGGTCATTGACTGCTGGGGCCCTGCGGAGCTTGGGGACTCTCAGGGGTCACAGTCTGCAGTGCTTGGGGAGATCATGGAGTGTCAGGGATCGAACTCAGGGCTTGGCGCATGTGCGGTGTGTGCCCCTGGGCCCTGAACTCTGTCCCAGGGTGGGAGGGGGCTCAGCTCCCCCCTCAATCTCTGCCAGCTGGGAGTCGCTCACATTCCTCCAGGGGTGAGGACCGACACTGTGAAGACATGGGCGGAGGGAGGGGAGTAGTGGATCGGCACCTTCCTGCCTTCCCGTGTAAGCCTATTTTTAAAAAGTACAAAAAAAAAAAAAAGAGAGAGAGAAAATATGGGTCAAGAGCGCTCAGAGTGCAGTGCCGCAGGCTGTGTCCGCAGGACGCCTGGGTCATCTGTCCCTCTCTGCCCCCCGGCTCCACAGGAAGAGAGGGACCCCCGCAAGTACCAAAAGCCAAAAAATTCAACAAAAGACAAGAAAAAAATGTTCTGCCCTTTCAGCTAACAAGGATGTCGGGGTAGGCACTGTGTCAGTTGGGTGATGCCACAAGACCTGCAGAGCTGGCGGGGAGAGGAGCGAGGACTCCAACCAGAGAAACAGAGCGTACCCCATCTCTGGAGCTGCAGGCAGAGTCAGGGCCTCAGGCTAGCCAGGGCCCTGGGAGGCCTCCAGGTCTCTCACTGGTGTTGGGTGACCCCATCTGTGTGGGCCCTCCCCAACCCGTGGCCCCCCTCCTCCCGTCACACATACCATCTAATGCTTTTTTTCACCCGCTTCTGCTCTCAGGAGCGATGCACCAGATGTAGTGGTTTATTTGGGGAGGTTGTGGGGTGGGGACCTTTCGGGCTCTGGTAGCCCTGGGGACCCCCACTGTGATTCTAAACCCACTGGGCAGGTGACTCAACACAAGGGTCTTCGATGCTCCCTGTGTTGCTAGGGATCACCCCAGCCCTGTGATCACCCCCAGTGCTGGAAGCCCCCAGGACCATACCTGCCAACGCCGGGGATTGTGTGGTCCCAGTGAGGACTGCCAAGTATGTGCCCTGATGGATATACTATCTCCCAGTCCTGTACATGGTGGCTGAAAATAAACAGGCACAGGGCTGAAGTGTGATAGTACAGCAGCAAGGGTGCTTGTCTTGCACGCGGCTGAGCCAGATTCCATCCCTGGCACCCTGAGCCCACTGACCAGCCAGGGGGATACCTCAGCGTAGTACAGGGGTTAAGGCTTGGGCACCTTAGGGTGTGGCCCCAACTACCTACCTCCCACACCACCCCCGCCCATGGAGTTGGTTACCTGCATAGTTGTTCAGCACAGCTGGAGGAGAGATGCTGGTGAAACTGTGGGGGTGGAGGGCAGTTGTTCTGTGCCTTCGGGGCCACTGAGCCCTGCTCTGCCAGGAGGACAAACCTGGGCTGGGGCTGACGTGAGTGTCCTCAGGAGCCCTGGCCAGCACAACGAGCCCCGCTTACATGCAGATTCAGGAGAAAAAAAAAAGAATGCCCACCAAAAAGGTGAATTCATCGTATGCAAATCAGACCTCAGCAACACTGGTCAGAAGAGTCCATGAGGGCAGGCCCGACTGACACAGGTGGAGTAGGAAGTCTGCAGGGTGGATGGCAGGGGCCCTGCCTGCATGCCTCTCAGAGTCTCTGAGGAAGGGCATTTCCTGCACTGTGGCGGACAGCTGGATGCCACAATGGAGAAGTCCCTAGGTCCTACTATAGGCCCCGCATGCCAACAACCTATGGTTTCCCCTGACCAAGTGCAGAGAGGGGAACTAAGCGCAAGGCGCAGGGCAGGAGAAGGCTGACCTAGGCTTCCGGAGCCTCAGTGTCCTCATCTGCAGGGGACGGAGCGGCAGGACAGCGGGTCAAGCGCTGGCCCTGCATGTAGATGACTGGGGTTCCATCCAGGGAGGGGCCAGGGATGACGTGAAGCCTGGGCCTGGGAAAAATTTCTCTGGTGGGTGTGGCTTACAGGGTGGCAGAGCTTACCCGTGGGTGTGGCTTAGTGACTGGGAGGGGCTTACCCAGTGGGTGTGGCTTACTAGCTGGGCGAGGTTTGCTCAGTGGGTGGGGCCTAACAGGCAGGCTTACGAGTGGGTGTGGCTTCACAGAAATGGGGGTGAGGGGCTTACCCGCTGGGCGGGGCTGAGTGACGGCCCCCTGTTGCTTTGAGTCCTGTTGCATTTCTTCCAAGCTGTGTGGCCTAGGACCAGCGCCTTAACTGTTGTCCTAGGGCCTGTTTTCCACATTGATAAAGACTTTTTTTAAGCGTCTCACGCTGTGCCCAGGAGATCCAGGGGTCCCTCCCAGCATGATCCACCACCTCTCAGGGGCCCCTAGAGATGTTTGGGGAATGGAGAATGCTCCCTGAGTCAGGTGCAGGAAAAGGCATGCTCTTTAACACTCCTGCCACCTCTCCTACCTCCTAACATGGCATTTTATGACCCACTACGGTGCCTGTGAGAAGGAATTGGTGCATTGATCAGCATCAGCCCTGGTCTTGTCACGAGCACACAGAAGAACTCAGCCAAATACCACAGGGTTGCCCAAGTAGCAGATAAGAAAACAGGAATCCCGTTACTTTGGAATTTCAAATAAATAATATATGGGGAGGGGAGTGTTGGGTCACACCCAGCAGTGCTTAGGGGCTGTTTCTGGTTCTATGGTCAGAGATCCCTCCTGGCAGTGCTAAGGGAATCATCAAACCAGGGTTGGCCACATGCAGAACAAGTGCCTTACCTGTTGTGCTATCTTTCTGCCCCCTACTTAAAAAAAATATTCTAAGTGCATCTCATGCAGTACTTGGAATAAACATAACTAAAAAGAATATTCAAGGCACATTACACTCACACACACAAGTGTCGTTTATGTGAAATTAGAATTTATTTTATCTGGCAAGCCTACTAAAAGCAGGTGAGGATTTGGGGTACTAGGAGAATGGGACTAAGTTTGCAGGTGAGGTGGGAGTCACAAAGACCTGCTTTTTATCCTCCCTGCCCTCTAAGCCCTTCAGGTACTTTCCTACAATCTCACCTCCTCCAGGAAGCCCCCTTGATTTATCCCACTCTGCCCATTCATGCCTGCTTTTGTTCTGCTCTTGCCTGCCAGTCAGTGTCATCTGTACTCACTCCCGCCCCAGTCTGGTACTCTGAGGTCACTTCCGGGGTGGGAGTCAGTGGTCCCTGCTGTCATTCCCTTGCCCCACCCCAGGACAGTGTCTGGGGCCTCTCCTGGGGTCCAGACAGCGCTGGGTGGGTGTAGTTTGCACTCGGGTGCCTGCGACTGGTGGCTGAGTGGCAGTGCTGCGCTTACATAATGGGTTTCTCTCCTCCTTTCTCTCTCCAGAGCCAGACTTCACACTGAGCAGCTGCAGACGGAAAAACCAGAGGAAGCACAACCCAGCCCCAGATTCCGGGGGGCCAGTCGGGGACTCTCCTGCCGGCGCAGGAGGACCTCTCCGGCCAGGTCCGACTGCCATGGGCCTTGCCGCCCACTGGCTGTGCTCCGCACTGCCAGGCATATAAGAGGTGCTGCCTGGAGCACCTGCCACTCCTCTCGGGGGCCAGCCCTGACCATCGAGGCCACTTCTGGGTCCCGAGGCCATGTAGACCCCACCCAGGGTCTCAGTGTCTAGACTAGCCACCATCTCTCCAGGACTTCGCCTCTGCTGCTTCGGGGAGCCAGCGTGCCACCATGTCCCGGAGACTCGCCTGGCTGCGCTGTGAGTACCGGGGGGTTCCGGGGGACCCTGGCGGGGGGATATCGGCCATCACCGTGGGAACCAGGGTGTCTGTCCGTGAGAAGGTGCATTGATTCTCACCCTCGGGGTAGAGACCCGTCGGTAGAGACAGGCTCAGGGGGAGACTGGGTGGGCACTGGGCAATGGGTGGGCACCAGAATAGGCAACCCTGGGATGGGTGGCACGGACACCTCCCTATCCATCTGGGTGTTGGGGATCAAGGTGCCCCCCCAAGTAGCGGAGAGGCCATTTTGGGGCTCTCTGGGTGTGGTCATCATGGAGGGGTGCGGGTGAGCGGGGACCAGTCTGGGGAGGCGGGCAGCAGGTGTCAGCCGAGCGGCCGCGCCTCCCGCCTCGCGCCCGGCGCGGGACTGAGAGGCCGGGAGAGATGCGCAGCGCGTTCGGCGGAAAATAAGTTGAAACGATACAAAATCGACCACCATGAGCACCGTGTCTGCAGTGGGGTGGGGGGGATGCGGCAGCCGCGCCCTGCGCCATGAGCGCCCCGGCTCCATCACGCTCCCCTGCGCCTGCCACACGCCCCCGCGTCGCTGCCATGGCAACAGGGACCCGAGCGCGCTCCGCAGCGCCCGCGCCAGGCCGCTGCAGGGCACTGCGCTGCAGCCCAGCGTCGCTCCTGCAGTCGGGGTCGCAACGCCCACCCCCCCGAAAAGGGTTGCGCATTCCCCCCGAAAAGGGATGTGTGTCCCCCTAAAAAGGGTTGCGCGTCCCCCCAAAAGGGGTTGAGCGTCCTCCCCAAAAAGAGTTGCACGTCCCCCCGAAAAGGGATGCGTGTCCCCCCAAAAAGGGTTGCGCGTTCCCCCCGAAAAGGGATGCGCATCCCCCCGAAAAGGGTTGCGCGTTCCCCCCGAAAAGGGATGCGCGTCCCCCCAAAAAGGGTTGCGCATCCCCCCAAAAGGGTTGCGCGTCCCCCAAAAAAGGGTTGCGCGTTTCCCCCAAAAAGAGTTGCGCGTCCCCCCGAAAAGGGTTGCGTGTCCCCCCCGAAAAGGGTTGCGCGTCAACCCCCCCCCTCGACTGCAAAGGGCCGGGCCATGAGACCAGACAGGAGGACCCCTTGGGCGAGGGGTGCAGCGGTGGGTGCGAGGGGGCGGGGAGGGAATGACGTTGTCCAGGGGGTGGGCGGGTCCTGGGACAGGGATGACGACATTGTTCCAGGTACAGGGAACAACCTGGGCGCCTGCTCAGCTGCAGTCCCGGGAGACGCGGGCCGAGGCCTTAAAGAGGGAGGGGACCTGGGGGACAGGCGCTCAGGGAGAGGAATGATGCATCTGCCTCTCCGGCCTCTGCTGGCCCTGCGGGTCCCCAGTGCGGGTGCTGCTTGCCTGTGATAAGGCCCCGCCCGCTGGGCATAGGCGGCGCCATCTGCGGAGACCCGGAGGAAGAGGGGTGTAAGCCGGCGAGGCCAGGCATTGATGGTCCCCTGGTGCCCAGCCACCGTGACACTCCAGTACTGTGGGCTATGCCTGGTCACCCACCCAATGGCCTCCCTCTGGAACCGCGAACCGCAGCTGAGACACTTTGGGGGTGGGGGCTGACACACTGGTCAGAAAAGTGGGGTACAGCTGCAGAGCTGGAGGGCAGGGCCACCTGGGAGCAGCCCTCTGGGGGGGCGTCTCCATGTGACTCTGCTGGTCACCTGCTCTGTGGGGGGACCACAGGATGGCGATGACCTCTCACGGCAGATATACCAATATCACCATCATCATCATTAGCTTGGGTGCTTGGGCAGTACCTGGCTTGTTGCTCAGGAGACCCCAGGATGCTGGGTGTGGATGCTGGCAGAGACACCCAGAAACCCCTGTCTTCACGTGCAGTCCCTGCGAACCAGCCACAGCTACCTGAGATCACCGGTCCTCCAAGCGCCCCCCTGGCCAGTGGCCCAACCACACAGGGAACTCAGAAACAAGAACCTGACCAGGCCAGCCGGGAGGACATCTCCGGGGACTCACACACACACACACACACACACACACACACACACACACACACACACACAGGGCTCAGGGCGGGCAGGGATGGGGCACTAGGCATGCCTGGAGAGTGTGAGTGACCTCAAAGGAGCCTGAGAGGGGAGTAGCCATCCAGGCCCAGGGCATGGTGTAAGCACATACTGGGGGCAGGGAGACCATGACCTGCCCGGTCTTGTGATTGGTGCTGAGAAAGTCACTTGGTGTTTGATCCTTTGTCCAAATACTGGAGAAAGAGAGAGGCAGAGAAAGTGTCCTGGAAGCAGAGGGCCAGGGAAGGACCCTCAGAAGACAAGCTGGCAGCAGGTTGCGGGGGTAGGGATGGGATGGGGGTGGATGGGGAAGGTGGGGGGTGGTGGTGGCATTGAGCACGAGCTGGTGAAGTCTCCTGTGTCAGGATGGCGAATGGGGAAGTCCGGTGAGTAATTCCCACTCAGAATGGGGTGGATCTGGTGACACAGCTTGCCTGGCTTTGGGGGGGGGGGGGCGGGGAGGGGAAAAGGAGGAAAACAATGGTTGTCTTTGTCTCTATAACAATGGTAGATATTGATCGCAGAATTCAAATGCCTCTGATGAAATATACGGAACCTAAAGTTGTCCCTAGAGATTGGGTTTCTTCCCACCAAATTTTCTCTGTGTGTGTAGGCGCGCACGCACGCACACACACACACACACACACGCACGCATAACACAGAGGTCTCTTTATTTCTAGACCTACAACCAGACATAGAATTAAAATGCAAGTCATGTTACGGGCCCGGATGAGGGATGCTGAGTCACGCTTTCGGGAAGACCTCCCTGAGTCTCACACACATATTTTCCCTATTACACAACATTATCAACATTCTTTGTCACTGGCCCCACTCGTGACTTTATTATTTTTTTTATTTTAATCATGATTTTTTAATGTCGAGGCTACTTGAAGATTTTTACTGCTGTGGAACAGTGTGGCATTGAAGTGTAGCCAAAAATACTTTTTTTCCTTTCTTGTTTTTATTCTCCTTCAGATTTGTTCCTAGAAGTGAGTTTAACGGGCCAAAGGGTGTAGACGTTTTTAAGGCTTAGTGGGCCAAAGGGCGTGGATATTAATAAGTCCACTAATAAAAGTTGCCAAATTGCTTTCCAAGATGAGAGTCTCTGCCTCACGGCTTTGAGCAGTAAATGCTTTTGAAAACAAAACAAAACAGGGCTGGAGAGCTATTACGGCGTTAAGACGCTGGCCTCGCACAAGACTGACCCTGGTTTGATCACTGATAACCCCGTATGATCCCCAAGCGCTGTCAGGAGTGACTCCTGAGCCAGGATTAAGCTCTGAGCACAACTGGGTATAACCCAAAGCCCAAGCAAAAAAACCACAACTCCCTAGTTGCCATTTTGACGGGGGAAACCTGAGATCTGATGGTTTTTAAAATATTTTCCCCTTGATTTAAACACCATTGATTTATAAAGTTGTTCCTAATACAGTTATTACAGGCTTTCAGATCCCAACACCGATCCCACCACAAGTGTGACCTTGCCTCCACCACTGTTGCCTTTTTCCCAACCGTCCCCGCCCACCCAAGCCTGGCCCTAAGCAGGCATAAAATAATTTCTTTTATATATTTCTTGTTACAATTAAATGGCTAATGGAATACTTCCATAAAAGAAAATTTGTGAAAATTGCTATATCTCCCCACAAGGTTATTAAGTCCTTGTCTGAGGGTTTGCTAGTTGAGCCTTCTGTGTCACTCTTTATCGAGTGTAGCTGGCTTCTGTTACTTCCCCATGTAATTTGGTGGCTCCTACTGGGATGGATGTCAGTATTGTGGAATGTGGAGGTGTTGAGATTGTTCTTCAGAAACTCCAGAACATTCACATGGCGGCAGTTGTGGGATGTGGGGGTGGCTTCCGGGGCTTCCAGAAGTACCAAGAAGTGGGGGGAGGCTGTCCACCCCCACTCTGAGAAGACCCCAGAGTCTGCATCCTGAAAACTCCATGTACCTGAAATTTGCAGTAGTTAGTCTTCCCTGCAGAGGTTGCTAAGTGGGGGAGTTGGGCCGTTAGGGGTGGCAGCTGTGGGGTGTGGTTGCAGCTGACGGGGCTGTGGCAGGTGAGGACTCAGCCCACCCCCCACCCAAAAGGGGTGCCCCAGACTTTCATCCGGCAGACTGGTGTACCCATGAATTTTTGTGGCTTGACTTGCATCTCTTCTGAGATGTAATCATGAGACTGCAGAGCTCATGAGTGAGCTTACATAGCTGTGGGATGTCGGTATCTGATCATTTTAATGTTTATTCATGAGTGTGTGTTTTCTGTCTGCTCTGATGGACTCAACCTTTGTTCATATTTATTCCAAATTTTCTGTTTTTCCGGGGCCCTGGGGTGCCAGGAGAAGAGGGTTGAACCAAACCCAGCAGTGCTCAGGCCTTACTCCCAGCTCTATGCAGCACAGGAAATCAAACTGTATGATGTGGGGTTTGCCCATGCAAATGCCTTAACTCCAACTATACCTCCACACACCCTCCCAGCAATTCCTCTTTCTAAGGCTGTTTAGTTTCTGGGCAATCACTGAGACAGTTTTTGAGGTCACAGCGACTCCCAGTGGTGAATGCAGGTAACTCCTTGGGTAGTTGTAAAGAGAAACTGAGAAAACAGACTTCGCATTGCAGAGTGACCAAGGGTGCCCCACCTGACTGGCAGATCTCACTGAGAGGGATGTCAAGGTCACCCACAAACTATCTAAGACTTGGAGCTATCATCCAAGTCTCCTGAGACCCCATGTGACAAGTGCAGCTTTGGAACCCATCAGCCACAGGGAAGGGGGGCGCAGGAGACCAGAGCCCACCCCCAGGGCATGTTCCTCAATCCCTGGGCTAGGAATGGAGCACAGGGTTTGTGCTCAGAACAAGCTTGGATCCCAGAACTCAGGGAAGGCATTTCTGGTGGTGGCAGCCCCCTACCCCCACTCCAAGGCTCTGCCGTCCGACCTTCTTGGAGAGCTTTGGTGGGGACACTGTGAGAGTGACTGATGGGCTTCCTCGGGTGCCCTCCACAGATCTCGGCGTCCTGCTGGGCATTACCTTGGGGAACAAAGGCTTGCAGGTGCGGCCTTTGCCCCAGAATGAGGAATGTGATGTGACAGGCTTTCTGCGCGACAAACTGCAGTACAGGAACCGTCTTCAGTACATGGTAACCTCGGGCACTGCCTGTCCCCTCCCCAGTCCCAAGGCCACTTGGGTCCCACCCTCAGGGGCAGCACCTGGGCCCTTCTCCAACCCCCATGTGCACATGTCCACACTTACCCCCAGACACACACACACACACTCTCACTGACCTCATATACTTGGCAAGACAAATCCACACAATGACTCTCACACATAATCACACAACACATCCATCCACTCTCTCACAAATCACACCACACACATCCACTCTCACAATCACAACACACACTCATGCACTCTCAACAACCACAATACACACTTATGCACTCTTTCATACAATCACAATATACACTCATGCACTCTCACACAATCACAACACACATTCATGCACGCACACTCACACAATCACACCACACGCTCATGCACTCTTTCATACAATCACAACACACGCTCATGCACTCTCTCACACAATCACAACACACATGCATCTACTCTCTTACAAACTTACACTACACACTCATTCACTCTCACAAATCATTCACACCACACACACTCATTCACTCTCACACAATCACAACACACACTTTTTTTTTTGGTCACACCCGGCGATGCACAGGGTTTACTCCTGGCTCTGCACTCAGGAGTTACTACTGGCTTTGCTCAGGGGACCATATGGGATGCTGGGAATTGAACCTGGGTCGGCCAGGTGCAAGGCAAACACTGTGCTATCTCTCCAGCCCCACAACACACACTCTTGTACTTTCCTACAATCACACCACACACTCATCTATTCTCTCACAAAATGATACTACTCTCACAAATCACTCGTACCACACACACACACACAGACTCACACCTACTCACAACCAGACTCATCCACTCTTTCACACAATGGCAACACACACTCGTCCACTCACACTACTCATTCACTCTCACAAATCACTCACACCACAGACTCACAAACTTACACCCACTTACACACCACACACTCATCCACTCACACACAGTCACACCACTCACAGACTCACACTGTTCCACTCAAGCTTACGCGTTCCTCCTGCTGCTGTCCATCCTCGTCCCCTGCTTGGTCTGATCTTGTGTTCCCTCTCCTGCATGTGGGACTCAGGGAGCCCCAGACACTTATTCGTTCATCCGCTCCCTGCTGTGTGTTTATCCTTGGGGTGATGGCCGCAACCATACATGCAGGGTCTCTGTGCCCCCCCACTGACTCCCATTCCCTGCCCCTTTCCCTGATATTGGCTGGGAGTGAAGGGTCCGATTACTGTGGGGGAAGCCTGGGTCACTTGGCTGCAGGTCCACCTTCGGGAACAGTCTTGACTGCGGCCAGCCACAGGTGTGTGCTAAGTCAGCACCGCAGGGTGCAACTCCGGGGTCTCCACTCTCAGGTGTGCAAAATGCTGAGGGGTGTGTGTGAAGCGCCTCCCATCCCTGAGAGAATGTTTCCTGGAGCCCTCTGTCCTCGGGAGCACTTTCTGGGTCCCTGAGGAAAGGGAGTGAGCCCCGAGGGTGGCCTGGTGACTGGGTGCCGTTTCTGACTGGCCTGTGCGTTCTTCCCCCGCAGAAGCACTACTTCCCCATCAACTACAGGGTCAGCGTGCCTTACGAGGGGGTGCTCAGGATGGCCAACATCAGCAGACTGGTGAGGCTCCCACTGGGGCTGGCAGGGGGGTCCCGGCAGGTCCTGGGCCGGGCTCTTTCCTGCTCACCCAGAAATGCCCCCGGCAGAGGCCCCCGGCCTGCCACCTGAAGGGACCCCTAGGGTGCTCCCCTGCAGGACAAGTCTGAGTGGGCAAAGAAGTGGTGGGCGTGCGTCCGGACTCTCTTCGGTGTTTCCTGTCCCCGCAGCAGAGGGAGCAAGTGAGCCAGCAGGAGCTGCGCTACCTGTGGGTCTGGGTGAGCCTCAGCACCACCGAGGCGGTGCAGGAGCTGCTGCTCGACAACCACCCGTCCTGGACGTACCTGCAGGAGGTGCAGACGCTGCTGCTGGACATCCAGCAAGGCCTCCTGGTGAGTGCGTGTCCACGTGATGCGGATATGCCTGCGAGCAGGTGCATCCGCAGGTGTGAACAGGTGTGTGTGTGTGTGTGTGTGTGTGGCGGTGTATCTGTGTGCATGGACAGGTGTGTCTGCATGGACAGGGGTGTGTATGCACACGTGTGTCTGTGCATGTCCAGGTGTATCTGTGTGTGCATGCACATTTGTCTGTGTGTGCAGGTATATCTTTGTGCATGTGCAGGAATGTCTGCACGCACAGGTGTGTGTGCAAGTGTGTCTACATGTGCAGGTTATGGGCAGGTGTGTGGAGGTGTGCCTGTGGTCATATGCAGGTGTTTCTGCGTGCACAGGTGTGTGCAGGTGTGTCTGCGTGCGCAGGTGCGTGGGCAGGTGCGTCTGCATGTATACGCTCACACTGGAATCACTGGAGTCTACCCCCAGTCCTTAGATGTAGCTTTTTTTATTGGCAGGGTGGGAGGAGTCACACCCTGTGGTGCTCTGGGGCGCTTTCTGACTCTGCTCAGGAGTGACCCCTCCTGAGGTGCCGGGGGTGTGAACCAGGGTCAGGCGCATGCAAGGCAATTACCTTACCCCTGTGCCGTCTCTCCAGCCCTGGGTATAACCTCATGACTTCCTCTCTGCTCTGCTCCGAGACCACCCTCAGGAGGGTCTTTCGCCCTCAGCCTTGGAGCCTGTGGGGGCCTTTGGGTCTTGGCATCCTGCAAGGCAGGGGCTGACAGCTCCAAGTCCCCCCACGCTCCCCAGGGCTGTGCTCCAGGGATCGTCACAGGAGACTTGGTGCCTGCTAGAAAAGAGAAGTTGCAGGCAGGCTCCTGGTTCCAGGTGGTCTTCCTGGTGCTGTGACTCAGAGGGGTGCCGCTGTCTCCCCCTCACACGGTAACCCCGGCTGCTTTCCTCCCTTCCAGGATGTGGAGGTCAGCCCCAAGGTGCAATCACTGCTGTCACTTCTGAGTGCTCCAGGACTGAACTTGAAGCTGGTGCGACCCAAAGCCCTACTGGACAACTGCTTCCGGGTCATGGAGCTGCTCTACTGCTCTTGCTGTAAGGATCTTTGGGGGGGCGGGGGGAGGAGCTGGGGACAGGACATGTGTTGGCCCAGGTCACTAGGCAGAACTGCACCGAGGGAGTGGTGTCCTTCCCCAGGGCTCCCCCTACCCCCCAACCCTAGAGGGGCATTGGGTGCAGAGCCAAGAGCCAGGAGTGCTGGCTGGGGACAGGGGCGGGGCTGACCACTCCTGCCTCCTTTTCTGTCGCCCGCAGGTAAAGCAAGCTCTGCCCTGGCCTGGCATGACTGTGAGGTGCCCAGTCCTCTGCCCCCTGGCCCCGAGCCCTCCTCCAAGTGTGTGGTGCCCCCGCTGTACTCTCAGCGCCAGCCTCCCCCCACCTCCCTGCCCCGCTCCCCCGGAGCCAAGGCTGGGCTCCCCCCTCAGTAAGGCTGCTAGGGGTCCCCCAGGTCGGGCCCCCCTACACCAAACGGCCTGTTTGTGACCTGAGGGCAGCTGCCATGCTGCTGGGCCTTAGTCTTAGGGGTGGTGGGACCCGGGAAGGGTGTTGTTCCCCGGAGGGTGATTCCTGGAAGACACCTGTGGACCCTGGTGGCCATCAGGAACAGTCCAGGACCCCTCCTGGCACCACCCGGTGCTGACTCACCTGAGGCCTGAGTGGGGGGTGGGGGGAGGGGGGTGGGGTCAGCCCAGGTCACACGCCACATCTTGCCATAGTGATTGCTTGTCTTGTTCCTCAGATTTTTTTTTTCTATTAAACATCAGCTTTGTTTCATTTCCTTTGGACTTGGCTTGCATTTTGGGGGGGATGAATTAGGAGACGGTCGGGTAACCTGCTCCCTGGCAGCTGCAGCGCCGAAGAAGGAATTGGGGCGTGGTGTGCAGGGTCTCTGGGGCCTGCTGGGCCAGGCCTGGTGTTGGGCTGGGCTGTGGAGGGGTGGGGGTGGGTGGGCCTCACACTGCAGGCGGAGGAAGCTGTTAATTACAGTACAACTTTATTAATACTGGAATCTTCACAGTGCATTTGTTACTTGTAGCGGTGACTATTGAGATCGGGGAGGGAGGGGTGGAGGGAGGGGTGGGAGCGGGGGAGAGGATAATTTCTCCCAAAAACTGACAGAGAGAAAAGAAACAAAAATGATTCAGACAGGATGGGGGTGCCGTGGCAGGTGATAGTAAGTGGTGAAGAAAGAAAACGTGAGTGAGTCAGAACCAGGGGAGGGAGGTCTGGGATGGGGAAATAAATTAAAAAAAAAAAAGAGAGAAGAAAAAAAGAAAAAAAGGAACAAGTTAACAACAGCACCAGAAAAGTTACTTCAGTCAAAAGACGCTTCTGAAAAGAATATTTCTCTGTACAAAATGAAAAATAACAGGAAGGTAAAGAAGCCCCCCCACCCCCCAACCAGTTTTGATGCGGTATAGTCAGCTCGGATCCTGGGGGCTGGGAGCTACCAGGTGGTCTTGGGGATGGAGAAGTTATGTACAGCCCAGGGGGAGCGGGGGGTGGGGGCACCTCCGGCCGGAGAGGCCCCCACTGGGGACTCTGCTCTTTCCCATGGGGACCCTGCGCCAGCACCCCACTCCGCCACTCTGACCTTGCTCCTTGCCATCTGCAGCTTCCTCATCCCTCCCCGGCGCCAGCCACCACCCGTCCTCCCGGCTGGGAGCCCGCTCCCTCTCCGGGTGCCCAAGCTGCCACCCTGCGGCGGGCCCGGCAAGGCCATTCCGAGACCTAGTGACTTACAGGAACCTTCTCGCCTCAGGGAGCCCAGAGGGCTCCGTCCACCCGGAGACCCCTGCAGTCCCCCGGGCCCCACCGGCCAGTTGCCTGTTCCCAGCACAGGAACCACCAGCAGCTCCAGCGGGGCGCGGAGGCACCGACCTCTGACAAGGCACAGCCGCTCCGCCGGCCTGGGAACCCCAGCCCCGAGAGCCCCGCACACATGCCTTAACCCACTAAGAGTTGGAGGGGAAGCGGCCGCCAACTGCCTGGTCCCTGCAACAGACCTGGCATTTGAACAGTCGCAGGAGTCCCTCCTCTGGGAAGAGTGACGGCGAAGCCCACCCGCCTTCTCGGGCCTTCTGGCCTCTCTAGGCCACCAGATTCCAGCTTCCGGGAGTCAGCGCGACTCCACTCCTGCCACGGGCCCTCCAGGCCCCTCAGGCACTCAGACACACCCTGTACTGTCCACCCTGTCTTCACACGGACGGACTCTGTCCGCGTCCTGTCAGTTCCACTGCATCCTTCTATTCATAAAACCATCCCGTCCCCCTATCCACACCACACCCCCCCAAAAAAAGTGGTGAGAGCACCACCAAAGTGCCACCAGAGTTAAAGTTCCAACGTGCCCAGATGAGGATGGCCACCTGTGCCGCTTAATGATCAGGCCCCAAACCCAGTCCTCCCCCCTGGAGGTGGTCCCCCTGGTTTTCCTCCCTGACCTTTCTTCCTAGCTTTAACCTGACCCCAACCTTCTGTCCCCCATCCTAGGCTCACCGGGCACCTGTGTCAGGTCTCCTGGGGGGAGAGCAGGGCTTGGGAGGGTGCAGGGGAGGTGGAAGAGGGACGGTGAGGGTTCAAGTCCCAGGTGCGGGTCCCTGCTGAGGCCAGGGGACCCCTGGGATCGATCGCCGCGCCTTGCAGAAGGCCGAGGAGGGGCAGAGTAGGCAAGAAAAGTAGAAAACAGGCTCGATGCAGTTCAGCCCCGCGGGCTGGTCCTTCCAGGCCGGACAGAGAAGTCGCTTCCGGTCTGCAAGCTGAAATTCAAGCTGGGGGTGGGGTGGGGTGGGGTCCTCTTTCCAATAAAGTGGCTTTGCCCGGGGTGACGCCAAGAAAAACCCCTACCCCCTCAAGCTGGCTGAGTCCACTCTCTGCGTTGGCCCCGGCCTGGGGGCCTGGGGCTTCTGCACGGCGCCTCCCGCCGGCCCGGGGTGCGTTTGGGGGTGCCATCACAAGATGCGGGGCGCCGACCTGTCGTTGGTGACGGTCCTGCGGAGCCGCACCCCGCGTCGGATGGCCACCAGCATGTCCTCGGCCGGGGGGTCGCCAGCGGCGGCGGGCGGGGGCGTGGGCGTCTCCTGGGTCGGGGCGGTCCCCAGCGCGCTGGGGAAGGGGAACTCGCCCTCGGCCAGGGCGTGCGCGCCCGCCACCAGCTCCCCCAGCTTCTCCACCAGGCTGTGCCGGTTGGCCGCCAGCTGCTGCTGCTCCTCGTCCTCGGCGCCCGGCCCGGCGGCCGTGTCGGGGCTCCCCCAGGCCGTGTTGGGGAGGCTCAGCCGCTTGGGCGAGGCCCGGGGCAGCTCCGGGCCCAGCGCGCCGGCGGCCGCGTCCTCGCAGTAGAACACGCACTCCTCGCTGCCCGCGCGCGTGGGGCCCGCATAGCCGGGCGAGTCGGGCACGGTGGGCGTCTTGACGGGCACGATGGGCGGCCGGATGGGGATGGGGCCGGCGCTGGAGAGCGCGCGGCGCACGGCGGGCTTGGTGGACGGCGTGCGGCGGATGGTGGCCACGCCCGGGGGCGCGCCCGAGGGCAGGCCGGCGGCGGGGGGCAGCCCGGCCGTGGGCAGCCCGGCCGTGGACGCCGGCCGCTTGGTCTGCAGCAGGCGGCGGTAGTTCTGCGCGATGTTGCTGTTGCGCGGGATGGTGGACGACTTGTCGAACTCGGCGGGTCCCTCGCCATCCGCGTCCCCGTTCACCGAGTAGCAGTCGTAGTCGGAGCCTGCGGGCGCACATGGGAGGTGGTGGGCGGAGCCCATATCCAAAGCCCCGCCCCAAATAGGCGGTGCCTCCTGCCAAAGCCCTGCTCTGAAGCGTGTGAGCAAGGCCTACGGCCAAACCCCGCCTTGTTGCCCGCCCCCAAGTGGGCGGGACCTCCCAGGTAACACCCTGCCCTCAAGAATGTGGGCGGGGCCTAATAGCTGAAGCCCCGCCCCAGATGGGAGTGGGCGGGACCATGCCACAAAAGCCCCGCCCCTCCCCTTCTTCCCAGCCTCGGATGACCGTGTTGTCCCCGCTTGGGGTCCCCTACCTTGTGATGGGATGGTGTCCTCGGAGCAGGAGGGCGTGGTGGTCTGCGTGCTGTAGCCGCTCGAGTACTGCAGTGAGTCCCGGCTGCTCTTTTGATGCTCCAGGCTCAGGCCGCGGGTCAGCACCATGGCCAGGTCGCTGGCCGCAGGGGATACCTCCTCCCCGTGCTGGGTGGGGGGTGGGGGTGCAGAGCGCAGGCTGAAGCCTTGCCTCACTCCCCGTTCCAATTGTGCCTGGATGCAGACTGCCTCCCCCCCACCAGCTCCCTGGCAAGGCCCCCTGAAGTCTGGGAAGGGTACCTACCTTGGCTGCAATGGTGGCAGGGGACATGCGGGCTCGCGGCGCTTCCTCTCCGCTGGGGCCCAGGGGGCTCCCCATGGCGGGGCCTGGCTCGGTGTCCCGGAGGACCTCCACGCGGTCCTTCCTCCGGGGCAGGGTGGTGCCCGGCTGCTCATGCGCCCCCCCCTTGGACCAGTCCTGCAGGGTCCGGTGGGTGGGTCAGGGACCCCTCACGGTATTTAGGTTTGGGGGTTTCCAGCCGATGTGAGGCCTTGGGCTCACAATCCCCACCCAGGGCAGACAAGAGGGAGTCCCGTGGTGGGGGTAGGAGATGTGAGGCAGGGCTGGGGGTCTCCCTGCTCACTATAGGGGGGACACTGACCGAGGTGGGGGAGCTGCACTCGCTGACCGATTGGCAGGTCTCTGAGGCCTCTGAGGACGCAGAGCTGGAGGACTTCTGCTGGGGAGAGGAGAGCAGACCCGGTCACTCCTCGGGGCACAGGTGTCCCACCACAGCCTGGCTGATGACTAGCTGCTGGGGGCCCAGATACAGTGGGTGAGGGGATGAGCCAACTAAGGGGGCAGAGCTGGGTGACTGCCTGGAGGAGGCAGCCTTGTTCAGAGTCCCACCTCGTCCAAGTGAAGCTGCACTGTCCAGCCTGGTTTGGTGTGCAGCTGCCACGCAGAGAGAGAAACGGGGTGTGCTACATGCTCTCAACCTTTCTACCCTGTGGGCCGGTGCCTCTGTGCACCCAGCTCCATGGTCTGAAGTTCTAAGCAGTGGGGCAGAGCCTGGTTTGCAGAAGTGTTTCCACGCCTGTGGGCTGGCACCGCCCTAGGTAGGTGGAGGCCGAAGACCACAGAGCTAGGTGACAAGACGGATGGATGGTCCCTTACTCAGGGGTCTGGAGTCAAGGCTGAAGGACTCAGTGCCGGAAGAAGCAGAGGCAGCAGAGGAAGGGGCTGTGGGAACGGGGCAGTGCTGTAACCAGAGCTCGGAGGTCTCACGGGCACCCCGCCCGTAGGGCGTTTGCCTTGCACACAGCCGACCTGGGTTCGATCCCACATGGTCCCCCAAGCCCTGCCAGGAGTAAATTCCTGAGTGCAGAGCCAGGAGTAACTCCTGAACATCGCCAGGTGGAACCCAAAAAGTTAAAGAGGGAAAAAAAAAAAGACTCCCAGGCCTTTTACAGATGATGATAGCCAGGATCATCAAAACCAAGCACCTGAGGAGAGTACAGTAGGGAGGGTACCGCGGGGAGGGTACCATGGGGAGGGCGTTTGCCTTGCAAGTGGCTGACCTGGGTCTATCTCCAATATCTGTGAGCACTGCCAGGAGTAATTCTT